TCAGCCACACACAAAGTGCATTGTTTGCAGTGAGTGGCCCAACTCATAGACTTGTCAGAAGTGAAGCACAACCATTGTGCAGCACTACAAAGCAGGAACCTGCATACAGTATGTAATTAAATCTGGCATGTTCCCTTGTACATATAAATCATTTTTACCTATACATAGAAACTGATTTATCACTGAAATTATTTACATTAAGTGGATCTCTTTTTTTTTTTTTTCTTCAAAAGCATTACTTAAAATGATGATCCATTCCCTTTTTAATAAATGAGAAAAGCAGCCAAGCATGATCTGTAGGTGAAAATCAGCAAAGGCCAAGAGCCACACCCTGACCTTTATTCTGAAAATAAAGTTTACAAGATATGACGAATACAATGTTCTAGGGACAGATAACTCGAACTGGTTCAATTATGACTTTTTTTTTTTTTTTCTGGAGTTCTTCCTTGTTTGCTTTGTGTGGACCGGCGTATGGGATTTCAAATGTTAGCTAGACAACAATTCATGGCGTGTGACGGTTTGCAACAACCTAGAAGTCTTTTATTATAGAAAATACCATGCAAAATGTGCCATGTAATATTTTCAAACTAGCAATTACCTGGCAACTATTTTCTCTGCATGGGGTGCGAGGCAGGCTACGCTTTTAACTTAACTAGTCAGCTAAACAAGTGCGACCCCCATCTAGTCAAAACACTGCCCTGAGCAGCCAGACAGGACGCCGACCGTGTTTCAGCAGTTTTTTTTTTTTGGACACGTATAGTCAGATTGTAGGGTCATATATACTAAGACGTTAGAGATGAGAACTATCTGCCTTGTATTACAGCAAACCTTCATACAAACTATGTCCACGTGTCATTGTCTGTGATGTTTTAAACCTGATTGCTGGTTTTGGCACAGCAAAGAAAGCTATTTTACTTTTTTAAGACAGAAATCCTGCTGCTGGGTAACTGGCAATGGAAAAGGAGCAGTTTCTGGCACCAGGGCCCACTTTTTCTGCTATTTCTAGGTAAAGTGCTCCAGAGATCAGTGACACTCGGGAAGTTTCTTTTTTTCCAGAGAGATATTAAAGTTGGCCATACGCTGGTACGTTTTTTTTTTTCCGCTCAGCCTGCGTGCTAATCAAAGAGAATATAACGGATTCCACCATCAATACTAAACAGCATGAATGGACAAATCTCGATTGGCTGCCCTCACTGTTCCCCCAGAGATTTTCCATCCTTTCATTTTCTGATTGAGTTTGGCCAATGGAAGGGTACCAACAGGGCCACCCACTTTAGGCATTTCAGCCACTTCATCAAGATCCGGAGAAAGTTTGTTCAGTGTATGGCCAGCTTTACTGATGTGTTCTATAAAACAAGAGGAATAGGAAAGTAGAAGTGTTGTCCATAGCAACTCATCACATCCTCCCCAGTTCTAAAAATATAAAATAATTACTCTTATTGTGGTTCCCATGGGCAACTCACACCACTCACAAGTCAGTCTTTCCAGCTCTTCCATACTTGTTGAAGTGGGCATATTTTCATTTTAAATGTCTTGCTAAATACAGCCCCAATTTGTGCTGTGGGTGACTCTATCCGCATCCTCCAGCTTGTAAAAAGCCGATTTAAAACTGTCATAGCCAGGGCTGTCCATAAGGTATGTTGTACGGTGGGGGGGTTTGGGTGTTGTTTGGGATTGGGTGTGCATGGTTCTTGCGCTGATTTTGTCCTTTGGAAAAGAGTTGGCGGATGCTGGACCTCTCCGTTGTCACGCCCAGCTCTTTGATATCATTGGTCGCCAGGAGCTCAGCAGGATGCCAGCCAAGGCATCTTGCTTAGCTCCTGGCCACTGGTGACATCAGTGAGCTGGCTTGGAAGCCGCACCACACAGAGCGTATATAGGGAAGCCCCTGTCTGCGGCTTTCTGAACTTAACATATCATTATCTGAATTGGAAAGAAGAAAATAATATATATATAGTCAGCATGACCTTGTCATGGCTGATGTTGATTGTACAAGTATGTGACAAGTAATAGGAAAACATTTGCGAAGAGAGATAACTGGCTATAGGTTTCCTCATCTGCCAAATGTTCTACTTTCTTCTTACTGTTTGGCATATCATGCAATCTCTTTTTCTACAAATTCTGCAATGTTTGTGTCAGGAACATGAACTAATGACTTGGAAAACCATTTGTACTGCTACAGTGATGGCCGGCTTCTGGAAATAATGTGGATTGTGCAAGATTCTCTCTCCAGGAAACAATTGAAACATTCTGGGCTGTTGAAGCCGTACTGAGCTCACTTCATCCACAGTGTACACAACTCAACAGCTTTTACGTCAAACGGTTGCGCAGTAGAAATGTTCATCCTCTTCTCGACATGTGAGCCTGAAAATCGATACAACATCCTTTAACAGATCCACTTGTGACTTCTATACTGTTTGTTAAAGAGGAACTCCAGGGACCAGAAAAAAACCTAACCCTTGCAGAAGGGCTACCGCCGCATTTCAAAGGTTAACTGCTGGTTTTGGGGTGAGAACACAGAGGATATGTGCACCTGATTCTTGGTCCTACCTGGCTGCTAGACCGGTCCCCACATCCTCTTCCCCTGGCTTTGGTGGTCTAAGGATCTCTCACGTCATGTCAGGTAAATGGACCTGTATTAGACATGAGGACGTTGAGGGACATCCTAAAGCCAGAGCGGGAGAGAGGTGATCACTGACAGCCACTGGACCAAGGATCAAGTGAGTATATCTTTTGTATTCCGTCCCCTAGACCAAAATGAACAGGGTAGCCCCACTGCAATTTTTTAAATATTTCTTTTTTTAACGTGAATGCTTCCCTAAGACTATGGAAGAGGTAGGACTAGATGGAAGGGTGAGGTAATCCCCAGTGGGGTTTCACACTATCATTGCTTCACCTAAAAGCTAGGGTAGAACTGAAGCCATTTTTATTTTTTAATATATTTTAGTTTTGGGAAGAGTAAAAAAGGGTTATAACCTCCATCGGATTCCCCTTCACTTCACAACAGGAAGTGAGAGGAAATCCTTCCAAACTGAGGGAAATGTCGTTTTAGGAATAAAAACCTGATGGCTTTTCTAATCCCTCTCCACACTATCCAAAATAAATTATTTTTTTTTAAATGGCTTCCTTTGCACTTTTACAAAAAGTGGTTGCGATTGTTGTCTCTGTTGAGCTATTATAAAACTGTGCTGGGGTCCATTTATCAATTTGGTTGCACCATCAGCATCTTTTAAAGTGTCACCCCTGATTTCTAGTGCATATAGTGACATGTTAGTTTGCTTCATTACTAAATGCCTTCCTACGGAGAATTGTCCTATAATTGTCTCCAAATTGTCCACACTTGTGAGGAACCTCCTGGAGCACAGCTGAACAGCCTCGTAGTGCTTCACTGACTTCAGGGTTAGTTCACACCATAAGCAGTGCGTTCCGGTCCGATTCTGGCCGGAAAGCAATGCCTCGCATTGCGACCGGCTCACTTTTTTGCAGGGGGCGTGTCGGGCCATTGAAGTGAATGGCACCGTAGCCACGCCCTCTGGCTGCAATGCGATCGCAAGGCACATTGTACCTGCAGTGCGGTCCGGTGGGATCAAAATGCTGCAAGCACTATTTTGATCGGACCGCACTGCAGGCACAATGTGCCTTGCGATCCCGTGTGGACCGGAACGGACTGCTCTGGTGGGAACAGAGCCCAGAAATACCATAGATGTACATTAGCATGCTTTTTTAGTCTAGGAACAAACTGTTCTGCTCTGGACATGATGTGAACAAGCCCCTGGACATGATGTGAACAAGCCCTTAAAACCTATCAGTAAACCCTACAGACCCTCCAACATGACCCACTCCATAAGATACACAATACTCCATTCCTGAATTTTTCTCAGTGAAGTCTTGGAAAGCTTCTCATAAACTGTCAGGAAAAGGTAAAGACTATCAGGAACAGAGTATTCTGTAATTTATGGAGTTGGTCATGTTGGGGGTCTGCTTACAATCCAGTTCCTGCCATTTTACTGATGGAGGCTGCATTGATATATGCAATGAACCTGCAAATCCTTTAAAGTGGACCTTTACCCCTTTCACTAGAAATCACCTCAGCATTTAGGTCTGAAATCTCGCATTGATTAGCTAAACATAATTCTTTTTACTTACAATTACTGTTTTTTCATATCCTGATCCCCTTAGGCATTAGTGATGTAGCCTGTGCCTAAGTTATTTAATCCTGGAATGGTGACATCATAGCAGTGCATTGCTGGGACATGTCATCTATAAACTGCAAAATCTTGTGAGATCTTGAGGAAAGGCATTTTTCTCCCCTGAGATGATGTGCATGGTCAGTTACAGGAAGTAAAGCGAGATGGATTAATCTGCTCTTAGTAAAAATGGCCATTGTGGGGAAAAATTGGGAGGCAGTTTAAAAATAAGGGCTAAGTTTCTCTTTAACATCGGTTGTAAGCGATTTCCTCTAAGGGAGTGGATGAAGGGTGAATGTTGGTGTCGGATGGAGCTGCATTGAGTTGAGTCAGGCTTTCATTTCCCATTTGGTAGCCAAATTTTCATGAAACATTATTACTAGATAGAGCCATGGAGCATAGCCAATAAATACTACTTTCTGATGCTCCATAGCGCCATCTAGTGACCCTTATGTGGTATGTTCTGTATCTTACATTTGGCCTGAAAAGAAAATTCATTTTTTCCTCTTTTGGCACAGAACGAACAGACTGCCTTACAAATCTTTATTTGATTATCTATAGTAGGGCACTGGTGTTGTGAGACCCGTTTTCTGTTTGTTAGTGGTCAGATGATGGGGTCATCTTTGGCGTTGAATGAAAAATGACCTGCTTATATGCTCTGCTACATAGCTGTATAACAAAACACAGGCTGTACCCTATTTTGCTACAGCGGTACTCCAGTGCAGAGTAATCTCTGCATTTACAGCCGTCTGTGTGTACTTGTATTGGAGCCTTTTATTTAGTAGACATTAATTCAGATATGTTTTTGTCCAGTTTCCAATGACGTGGATGGCGCCCTGTATCTGCCATACAAGACAATAGTGTCCACCATCAGCAGCATGGACTTCAGCGAAGGAGAAGCACAGAAGCTTATTGAGATCCTGATTGAGAAGAATGGCATAAAGCAGGATACTTGGCACACAGTAAGGCGATATTTGGCTGCTTGGCCTTCCTTTCTCTCTAATAATGTGTTGAATGTTATGTACACAATGGTAGAAGATGCAGCCTGCTGACTTTATGGTGATTTGAAGAGGGCCACACCTAAAATTACACAAACTCAACTTGATGGAGGTGCAGTTCATTTTTACTTTTAGCCATCTTATTAGCAGGAAAAAAAACATAGTCTTGTCTTGTCTGAAATCAGTAACCAGTTGGAGGAAGCACTGATTACTGGGATGGGTGTGCCCCATAGATGACCATCTAGTTGTGAGGAATTGTGATGCAGAATCGTACCAAGACTTTTCCCAGCAACTATTGATCCAGGTATCGCACAGCTCCCTGCATTCCCTGCAAGTCCAGGTCCATCCAAAACCTACTGTCTGTGTATACCTGTCCCAATGGCAACCGCTCCAGGACAAGAAACAAAAGGAAATCTGTCCAACTGGGAACTTGGTAGAATTATTTACTCTTGCCAAATCTATAAAAAAAAAAAATGGCTTTGGCTTGAGTTAGGCTTTAAGACGAAATAAATATCACAGCTGCTAGTGCTAACTTGTTTTTGAAGGTGACGGGTTTAGTGGTACATAAACTAAAGCTGAACTCCTCCTGGAATTAGCCAACCTCTACCGTTGCAGTAAGCTCTTAGCAACCTGTGATGCCCTGGCCAGCGTCATGCCCAGCTCGCAGACGTCACTGGTTTGCAGGAGCTGAGCGGGATGCTCTGGCTGGCGTCCCGCCCAGCTGCTGGCTACCAGTGATGTAGGTGAGCTGGGCAGGACCCCAGACAGAGCCGGACCCAGATATTTTTTACTAAATCTATGTAACACACGAGCCTTGCCTGATTGGATTCAAATGAAATGGGGTGTTCAGGTAGACCCTCACATTGCATTTTTTGGTAAACCTACAATTGATTGTACAATACAGTATACAACCAACTTATCTAATTACATTTCCTCTCCTTTCCAAATCATAGGTTCTTAGAAGTCAGGAGATAAGGTCTAATGTTTTAGAAAGTTCCATTGATGTCAATGTTTATTTAATCTTTGTTTTTATAGCTCTTGGTAGGCTTTTCAGTAGCATGATCCTCATCTGAGGTTATGTTTAGAGGGAGTATAAGTGGGTATGGCCTGGCATTACTCATTCTCAGGGATTCCCCTGTTGGAAATGGCATACTGTGTTGAATAAGATAATAGCCAGAAACAGATGGACAGTAAATATTCTGTGATTACCTTTACAGGCCACTCAGAAAGGAGATCCAGTTACAGCTCTGAAAAAGCAATTGGAAGAGAAGGAAAAATTACTGTCAGCAGAACAAGAAGATGCGGCGGCTGCTAAAAATAAGCTGCGGGAGCTGAATAAGGTGGGTTCAGCTTGTGCCCCGGACACACCTCCTGTCCTGTATAGTGACAAGAATCACTCAAGCCTTGGTGGATTTTCTGGTGCATTACATCAGGGTCACATAATTAGACAGAAAAGTATCAGCAGGTAACCGCAAGAAAGCAAAGTTGATCTTGACATGTGGGACAACCCTTGCTTGTTTCCAACATTTTCATGTACAAGACATTAATTTGCATTACAGGAAACCTTCAAAAAATATTTTGCATAGCTCCAACATCCTAAAATCACCCTATGAGAATGTCCTTTATGCCAGATCTTAAAAGAGAACTATGGGATACGTGTTTTTTCCCCCATGGTTCTTTTTAGGGTCACGGGAGCTCATATACTAACCTCCTCCCATGACCCAAAGCTCAGTATATCGTGGGCTATTGCCTGCGATATACTGACAGCGCCGCAGCCGGGATGGATCCCGACACTACTGTCTGGATCCACCCACCTGTGTGTGACAGCTGGCTCTTCCTATCTAGAGACAGAGCCAGCTGTGCACGCCCCCTCCCTTGTTCGTTGCTCCACTCAGCGCTGGAGGAAAGGGGAGGGGGGAATCCCTGCAGGGAGCGGTGACTTACAGTGACCGCTCACTGCAGGGAGACGATCGGGAAGTGAGCGGATTGGTGAATAGTTCTGCTCACTTCCCGATTGATAGAGCTGACCTGTGACAGCTTCTTTGTCGCAGGTCGGCTCTAACTATGAGGATGATTGAGGGCAGAAGGGTGCTAAACATTGCTTCCTGAAATCATCATGGCCCCCTGTCTCAATAATCCTCTGAAGAGACCACTGTCTTGCTGCAAGCAGTGAGCTGGCTCTTGGGAGGAGTTGTGCAAATATCACAATACCTTGATGGGTGGATGTCGGTCTGGAGGAATGGGATTCTTAGCTAGGCTGTCTTTGCTTGCAGATCACCCTAGGTACACCCACATGTGATACTGATCCAAGATTGAAAGAACTGAAATCCAATGAATAAAGGAAATCAACTAGGGAAAGAGCGAGAAGCTGGACAGCCTTCAGCCAGGAAATGAGGCTGGCTCTCTCTGAAATGCTGTAGCTTCTAATGCACACTTTGAGACGCTCACAGAGTGCAGAGAAATCAGATTAAGCAATTTCAGTACGGGAGAGGAGCCCGTACAACTGTGCAGAACTGCAGGGAAGTATGGAGTTCAGCTTTAAAGGCGGAAATAGTACGATACATTAGAATGTTTAAACTACCCACATACAGATGTCTCGGTTGTGGGTGGGTGCTGATGGGCTAAGTTATCACCTGGTGACTAACTGTACTCCAGCAGCAAGGTTACCCACATTCTTATGGAGTTTGTTTAAAGTGTCACCCAACTTGGGAGGACCCAGAACACCTGTGGATAGCCTGTTGGGGTTCATCAGCAGGATGCTGGTGGTTTCTGGTAAGCATTACATGGTCACAAGAAGACCTGATATTCACATTCTTTTTCGTCCGGTCATTGCGGCACTTGTTCTTAAGCAAGGATGACCTGCCTAGAGCATGCACCTACAAAAACAAATCAGCCGTATCAGGTCCCATATTCATACTGAGATGTTCCATTTGCAGCAAGAGAAGCACAGGTAGCTGCTTGATACAGCTGCTGGTTGCACTGAAAATATCTGGTGAACATGTGTCTCACTCCTAATCCTCTTGTGTGGTAGTGATGAGCCTAGGCTTTGTGTGTACCCAGCTCTCTTGCGTTTGCCCAAGCCCGCTAAAACCTTACCCAATCATTTTGTGGAGAGGCTCATTCCCCGGCCTGCAGTTATACTTCACAATTAGGCAGGGAATGCCCCCGCCGCTATTGTCACCACTGATTGGGCCGAGAGGGGCAAGTGGAAGGCACAGTTTTGAGCTGGCTTGGGGGAAATGGGTTTCCACCAATCTCAGGCTCTCTATTGCAAAGTAAGATCAGACTAGGTTGCCTTGGTGCTTTCACAGGGCTTACTTGTCTCTCTTCCACTAGCTGAACAATGTAGGGAAGAGAGTGTGAATGAAAGGTGAGTATGTACTGCTGTGGAGGGCTATTAAAGCGAACATGTTACCTCTTGGCAGCTTATGTCCATATCAGATTGCCTGTCTAATATCACAGTTTTGCACTTCTAGAAGCTCACTGCAAGCGATCAAAGTATAATGCAAGCTATAGGCTGGCTCTATGTTCTGTTCATATAGAGAACAGGTTTATTTTTCCATTGTACAGTAGCAAACCACTGGAATATAAACGGGTGTAGAAAAGTACATTATATTCAATAACAATTTTCTTTTTGGTTTGTTTCATCCTGATCATCCATAATCAATGCAATACTACACTGGCATTGTCAATATGTCATAGTTTTGTGATGCATGGGCAGCACAGTGGCTCAGTGGTTAGCACTTCTGCATTGCTGCACTGATGTTCAAATCCCAGTCAGGACACTATCTGCATGATCTCCCTGTGCTTGTGTGGGTTTCCTCCGGGGACTCCGGTTTCCTCCAACACTCCAAAGACATGAAGATAAGTTAACTGGCTCCTGTCTGAATTGGGCCTAGTATGTATGCATATGAGATGTGGACCTTAGATTGTAAGCTCCTTGAGGGCAGGGCTGATGTGAATGAATAGTACATAAAGTTCTGTATAAATGAATGTAAATGAATGTAAGTTCTGTATAAATGAATTAATATAAAAATGTCTATATACAGTAAGAAGATACAAATTTGCTTTCTTATATTTTGTATGAGAAGAACAAAATATGTTCCATTGAATTTACTGACTAGTAACCTTTCCTGGCCCTTCATAAAATGTGCAAATTACAGTTACTGGGTGTCTGTAGGTTTGATGCAGTATGTGTACTCGAATGACCTTTGCTTGGCAGCTTGTGAAAACATCTGTATCATCATTTATTATTGTTGAGAATAGGGACATCTAGTGGGCACCCTCGCACACGTTTTCACTGACCCAAATCTAGTCACCCTATGTAAAGAAGGTTTATGTATAGTCTTCGGTGTATTGCTAAAATTCAGTATGCCTTTAAAGAAGCTGATGTATTTCACACTATTATATAAAAAGTTGAACTGAAGGCAGCTAAATACACATTTTTGATACATATAATGGGATTTTTCCCATCCAAAGGATATGCAACTCTGCATCCAGTTTTGTGATCCAGACACCCTTGCCAGATAGCATAGCCAGTTCCTTAACCTCCTTAAAGCAGCAGGAGGCTTGGCCAAGAACACAGCCACATCCTGCTGATTGAACAGTGAAGGAGCAGCAGGACACTCATGAGGCCATTCCTCTGCTCATTTCACTCTGTCCACCGTTCAGCATGCAGCAGAGTACTGGCCATACCTCTTGTTATCTGACTGTTGTTGTACACGGCAGTGATTTCAAGACAAATTCAGATACGAAGGGTGGAAATATAGCAACAATGGCTTCCACCTCTTGGCTGCTCTTTACACTACTAGTAAACTGTACTTTGTGATGCCTAGGCTGAGCTCTCTGCCTCCCTTTATAAGTCCAAGTCGGTGCCTCCAACTCCCAGCCATCGGCATGTATCGGACTATAGAGTATACAGGCTCTCTGTCATTCTTATTTTAACTTTCAGCTGGTTTATGGCAACTCAGAACTCAAAAACTACTTTGGTGGATTTTATCACATGGTGGCTTGCTAATCCTCTCTTGGTGGAACTTGGTAAGAAAAACAAAGACCAGAAAGTCCTTTTACCATCCAGCTAGATCTTCTTTGGGTTCACTTTAGTTCACACACACACACCTGTGCTGACTATCTTACGTTTGAGGCAATGGGAGTGAGATGGTGAAGTGCTTAGGCATGCATTGTTTAGGAGGGAAGGTTGAGACACCGTAGAAACATAACCACACATTGATCAATATGGTGTTACACTCCCAAGGCTTAATGCAGTAAAGTGATGTGCACTTAAAGTGGTATTTTTCATCACCTCCTCCAATTTATCTTTTACAGTTAATCTTTATTAGTCTTTGAACCTGTCTAGCCTGCTCTACTTATTACTGACCCCTGGCCTATCAAGACCGCTAAGCAGAAGATCTCCTCCAGTTGCTGGAGCTGTCATGCATGTTCAATTTTGTGGAGTAGAGAGGAAGTCTCAGACTAAATTTATGGTGCTAAGTCTTGCCAGTGAGGAGTACATTAATAATAATGTAGTCATTAGCTTCCTAAGTTGCAATTAGTTCAGTCTCTTTATTGCGTCTGATAAGGATGATGTAATCCTCTTTGTTTGCGCAATGTTGGAGTCTTTCAGTTCCTCGTGATCTCTCTGGGATATTTCTTTTTTTTATGTTTATACTCCACATTTCTTTGCAGGAATTGGCAGCTGAGAAGGCTAAGGCAAACAGCGCTGAATCCAAGCTAAAGGAGCAGATATTGTCTCGCGACCAGGAGAATAATGCATTGCAAGCTCGAATGCAGGCTAGTTATCAGGATCATGTGACTGAAATCCAGCAGCTACAAGGAAAGGTAAATGCAAGGATTTTGGGATATAATGATAGGACTTATAACTAGAGGTGGGGCGCAGTCTAGAGTTTAGGAAAACTAACTGGAGAAAAACATTTAAAGGACAGAGAGAGCGCTGGAGAGAAAAGAGTGCTAAGGAGAGAGCAATAGACATTTTAATAAGTTCTAATGGGTTTAGTACATCATGTTTTAGTTAAACCAGTGACCACATTCTTAATTTGACTAGGTGTGTTTTAATAAATAACAGATAAGGTATTATATGTGTGATCCTGATGAACATGGGAGTAGTAAAAGTTATTACTAAAGGAGTCATTTTCAACCGATCCCAATTCATGTAACAAATCACGTTTTAGAGAATTATAAGAAATTGTTAGAAATTTCTTTAATTCTTATTTCCTGAAATGTGTACAGGATTAGGTCAAATAACTCTTTTGGGTACAGTGTACACTCATGTGGCAAAGTTTCCTTTTTGTCTGTCATAGGAACGAATGTGTGAGCTTAGTACTTCTAGTGCGTTGTTAGTCATGCGGTAAAAAGTTCCACATTGAAAGAGATTGGCAAAAATAGATCAAATCTTATTACAGCTAAATGATAACGATTTTGAATTATAACAGTCAGGGTTAAAAAATAAACAAGATTGTATCTGCACATTGGCTACTTTGTTGTTCGAACTACTACAAAATTCAATAAAGATATATTGTTGAAAAAAAATAAAAAATAAACAAGATTGTATCTGCACATTGGCTACTTTGTTGTTCGAACTACTACAAAATTCAATAAAGATATATTGTTGAAAAAAAATAAAAAATAAACAAGATTAAAAAAATTGCCAGTATGTTTTGCATGTAAGTGATCTGTTGTCCTGGGATTTACAACTGTCAGGGCCAGCGAGATTAGCAGTAAACGCAGGCTGGTATCACTAACTGAGGCTTTAGGCCATAAAGCAGATTCCTGACCTGATTGTAGGCTCATTTCATGAATTTCTCCACCCTGCTTTTCAATCTTGGGTGTGTCCAGCATCAGCAATGACGTACACTGTTCTATATCTCTAAATATAGATAAAGGTGTTGTATGGAGAGAAATTTTAACCTGTGCACAGTTTCCAATATTTAACCCTTGATTTCTTTTATTTGTTTGTGCGTGTGTTTGGGAGGGGGGGCTTGGTGCTTGTTGGTTTATTGAACCCTGCAGAGAACTTTCCTGCCAGCATACATGGGCTTTGCTAAGAATGCAATATTTTGAGGACACCAGAAAACAGTACAGATAAGGCATTTTGTGTACACTTTTAGGTTGTGTATTATACTTCCCACCTTCTAATTTTGTTTCAAAACAGATTCGTGGTCTTCAAGAGGAACTGGAAAACGGTCCTAAAGCACAACTTGCTCGTCTGCAGCAAGAAAATTCTATTCTAAGGGATGCCCTAAACCAAGCGACCAGCCAAACTGAAAGCAAGTAGGTATCCTATATGTCATGTATTGTCCTCCTATTATGAGCTCTGTAATCCTTGAAATTCATTGAAGATATGTAACGTGGCCTTTAAAAGCGAAGCCATTGCATAATGGTTGGAGGGGAAATGTATTAGATGTATTTATTTTTTACATTTACTTACAATGTGTTCTAATTTCCCATCCTTAGATTACATAATGCTTTTTACCTTTTCATCCTTCTGTTGGCCCTAGTATCCTTTTTTCTTTTGCTGGAAAAAGGGGATCAGCTGCTATTGATTCTCCATTGTTGTCGGTACCTGGAAGCAGCCCCTTTCATTATGCATGCAAAAGCCTCTAGCACTTCCGAGGCTTCCTCTATTGCGCATGAGCCAAATTGTCAACTGAGCTACGGCACCACTCAGTCTGGGCAAACAGATACAGGAACGAGGGACTGCGAGTTGGCAATGTCACCTCTGGTCCTGATGTCAGTGCCAGGGAGGAAGGTCCGCCCGCCACTAATCAGAAAATGGGCACAGAGCAGGATTATTGGTCATGTGACCTAAATAAAAACACTATAGGGTACTTTTCTAGTGTTTTTTTTTTTAATAGAAAAGCTTTTGGGGTGCTTATGCTATGTTATATACACTAGCTGGTCCATTATTGATGTGCTGGGTTTCTATCTATTTCAATGAATTGTAATTCTAATTTCCCAACAAAAGCAGGCAGCTTGGTTAGAAATATTTTCAGGTTTTCATGGAAGCATGGTTAAAAACTGATTTCCTGTCTAACTTGTCCTCCTCTTTGCAACCCCAAAGGGATTGAATTTTAAGCGTTTGCAAATAGGCTGCCTGGCCAAAGACACTATCTACCTTTTCCCTATGAATTTCTTATATGTTCATGGATCCGTTTGCTTGGATCATTTCCAATCCACAGACAATCCATAGACTTTTTAGTCTGACTTTAAATTTCCAGTTATTTTGGTAACGACTTGATTTAAAAATTCCATACTGTTAAATGAAAGTTCCTCCTGTCTGCACATTGAATGCCTTTTATAATATATATGTGTAATCATAATGGATGAATAGTAACCTCCAGCACTTTTAGGCAGAATGCTGAGCTGGCTAAGCTTCGTCAGGAGTGTAGCAAATTGTCCAAAGAGCTCACAGAGAAGTCAGAAGCTCTGCAGCAAGAGGAGCAGCGGCGGAAGAGCTTGGATGGAAAAGTCTCTACATATGAGAAACAGGTCTCCCAGCTGCAGGTAAGGAATGCATATAGATATATACATTTATATATTGCCTTATTGTAAAATCGAACTTCACAGTAGTCAGACTGTGCTTTTACTGCACAGGACCACAAAGCCAGACATTAGAAAGATTCAAAGGGGATATTTTTTTTAACCTTACACAGCATTTTTCAGAACATAGCAGAGTCTACGGCATCCTTTCCCAACCAGAGTGCCTCCTAGCTTCTTCAGGGGTGCCTCCAAATTTTCGCACAGTGTCATGCCTTTCCATTGTATAGAGAGGCTTCAAATGTTAAGGGGGCTCCTTATGTAAAGGGGGACGCTGATGTAAA